GGAAGGATCAGTTCATATTTTTGTCTGCTTGACTCCAAACCTCTTCTCTATGGGAATATTGTATTGATTATGCAAAGTGCTTAACATAGTGACAGAAACCAAAAGTTGACCAAAGGGAATAACTGTGAGGAGGACCTGATAGCTAGGGTTTGCCATTTCCCTTTTCAAATAAGCATTTGTTAATAAATGAATGTGTGCTAATGTCAGATCCGTAGATTTTTTTCCAATATATTCCTTCAATATATTCTAATATATTTTTCAATATATTTCTTTCCTATAGAAGAAGGAAAATTACAAATATAACTTTTATTGACTTTCTATAATATTCCATAAACCAAGTATCCACTGTGTTCACATTGAAAGGTCATATTTCACTTATTCAGGTTTAAATAATTCTAAGGCTCCATAATTAAATGAACATCAGCAGTGGTATAGTGGGAGTGGAGGAACTCATTGGGAAGTGCTCACCTTACCCCCAAAACCAAAGCAATCTCCTCTTCTCCTGAACCTTCTGAACCTTCTGCCTATGTACCATTAAAAATTATAACTACCAGTATCTTAGGTCAGAAAATGGTCATTCTTAGATAAAGCTACCCTATGAGCAATATACAAATGGGAGACTATGAGACAGTTAAAAGGGTTTCTCTTGTCTTTTCTGCTCTTTTCGTATTTCTCAGTGATCTCATGTTATATGTTTCACGGTTAATTCTGAGTCAACTCAGCCCTCTGGGTTTATTGATTCCACCATCAAGAAACATTTTCCACCTGCAGGCTCCATTATGTGTCTGTTGCTATGGATACAGTGAATTTTAAAAAGGAAATAATTAAGCTTTTTTAATAGCAGAAACACATTTTCAAAATTTTTCTTGCAGTCGAAGCTAGTGGACTAAAACAGGAAGAAAATAGCAATTTCAAAAGGTATAGCTTGAAATGGTAGATAAAATTCGATAACCTATCTTTTCTTGGCGTAATTAACAAAAATTTTCTCTTTCTTATAAAATCTGAATCATAGTGTTGATGGCACGTAGTGATATACCTGAAAGTCCTTTGTAAAACAGGAACATCTGTATGAAGAACATACCTGTTATTTCTTTCTGTGATGAAGTTCTGTGAGGAAGGGTTGTAGCAACCGCTTTGGAAAGTGCCCTGTGGCACATAAGTGGTATAGATATTACACACGTAGTTCAAGGGATAGTTTTGAAATGTTGCTTAGGATATCATGAGTACATAGATAGCAGCAAAAGTCAGAGAACCAGATGAGTGCACTTATGAACATATTTAGAGGAAAGGGGTAAGTAGAGAAAAGAGAATTTTAATGTACACAAACGGCAATGAAGCAGACTTCAGATATTTCCAGAGATCAGAGGAAGACCATTCTTCAGGTGTGCAGAACGCAAGGCAAGAAAGCAAAGGTGACAGACACCATAGAGGATTCCAGCAAGACGGAAGTGAAAACCTGAGGCTGAGGATATAACTGGAACCAAGCTGGCAAGAGTGGCTTAGGTGTCAAGGAAGGAAGTATAGGAGTTGGAAACAACGAGAAGAAAAATTTCTTCAATAAAAGAGACTATGAAAAAGTAGTGGAGTGTAGGAAGCATGCGAGTCCTTAGCTTTACAAAATAAAGGCGTTGAGATGAAAGGAAGTGAGAGGAATCATTTAAGAAAAGTAGCATTCCAGTTAGAAAGGCTACCAGCATGACTATGTTTATTGCAGCATTATTTAACATAGCTAAGATCTGGAACCAACCCAGATGCCTCTCAGTAGATGAATGGATCAAGAAAATGTCGTATATATACACAATGGAATTCTATGCCTCCATCAGAAAGAATGACATTGCCCCATTTGTTAGGAAATGGAAAGTCTTGGAAAAATTTATATTAAGTGAAGTAAGCCAGGCCCAAAGAAACATAGGTCCCATGGTTTCCCTTATTTGCAATATCTAGTATATGTCTGAGTCAAGCAGAAAAGGTCAGATAAGGTGATGTTAGGGAAATGAACCCTAAGATATGTATTCAAATTTTTTTTTTCTTTCATGCGATTGTTTCTAACACATTTATAAGATTATTTCTTTGTTGCTTTGTATGTCCCTTCCCCACAGTATAGCCCCTGCTTTCACTGTATTTGATGTCGATATAATTTGTGGAGGGGAAGGGGAAAAACAAATCGTTTAAATAGGGATACTGGTGGACCCATTGCAACAATGAGATGTACAAGTCGTTATGTCGAAAACGAACTTCACAACTTTAGTGTGGGGGCGGGGGGGGGGGGGGGTGACGGGGAGGATTGGGTGGGGGGGGCCGAGGGGGGGAGGATGGGAAGGGATGGGAAGGGGAAACAAAGGAGGAGGCTACAATGCTTGATAAGAAATGTACTCATTATCTTGCCCATGTAATTGTAACCCCTCTGTACAGTATTTTCACAATTTAAAAAAAAAAAAGAAAAAGAAAAAGAAAAGTAGTGTTGAAGGTAAAGGAGAAGAAGGGGACTAAGAAGAAGAATAGACTGAGTTCTTTCTGACCACACCGCAGCGATCAAGTTCAAGCCATATCTGGGATTATCACCCACAACTTGAGAAACATCTCATATGATTTGTGTGTGACACAATACTTCAAATCACAAATTATACCATAATTTCACTAAATTTAACATCTCAAATGTGGCAGCTTGAATGAGTCTCAGTGATTATTTTATGAGAAGATATATAATGAATGGATATTATCAGTTAAAGATGACTATTACTATATATTATGTACTAATTTATGTAATACACAATCAAACAGTACTGAAAGCTATGAGTGGATTATTTCACTGAAAGCCTTTTCCTGATTTTAGTGTCTATATCCCAAAGTATTTGTCAAGCTAATATCATCATACCTACTCAGTACCTTAAGTCTTATTTCATAATTTTAGATGAGAACGTTGAAATTCAGTTTGTTTTCTTTTTATATATTCTGAACACACTTATACTCAGCTGAGTTTGCTCTCTTAATTCATGTGTGCACTGATACAGTTTAATAAAGTCCATTGTTTGAATAATTGTATGCTAAGCAATAATAGATGGCATAAAAGATAGCAAAGCAAAACTTTTATTTGCATGCTTCCAATACTACATTATAATAATAAATATGTAAATAATTCTACAATAAAGTTTGGGCTTATTGGACCAAATTAAAAATTGTTCAAGATATTACAGGAAGTTGCTAGCATCAAACATTTGACTGACAACCTATTTTCATATTCAGAACTCCCAATAGCCCTAACCTACCAAGACTGAAAAAAGCACTAAGCAGGGAATAAAATGCTTCAAAGGAGAATATTACAACTGGAATTTTGGAAAAGAAAAATAAAATGTAACAGGATACTACTTCCTAAGGCAATGTTATTTGGTCTGAGACTTACATAGTTTCCAAATAATTACAAAGAAATAGAAGTAGAATGGCAGGTATCTATGAAAAAAGCAAAAATTATATTATTTATGATGATGCAAATGAACAAAGATAAAAGATGATGAAATAGCAGAGAATTTAAATCTGTTGAGGTCCTCTAGAAAAAAACTGGAATAAGACCAATAGTGCAGTGAGGACCAGAACAATGGGAAGTCAGCATGTTTATATTGAAGATCAACTATGAACAGCAGGGGGAGGGGGTCTTTGCACAGCATATTAACTGGTTGTGAACTTGGTTTCATAGCTGAGATTTTTCTGTCAGAACATTGTGCGTATGGCATTTGCAAACAGATAAAGGATAGTATTGTTGTTGTTGAGAAGGAGGAAGATAGGAGAAAGCCCCAGCATTGACCACCCAAGGCCATCTCTACTGGGCCCCACGAAAGCTACTCAAACCCTTCTGGAGATCTCCTGAAGTTCCTAGAGTGGAAAAATACTGTTTGGAAACGAGCATACGAAAATTGTACGCTACCTATCTTTTTCTGAACAAGAACTAAAGTTTGTGTGTACTTTCAGCACCACACTGAAAGTATGACTTTGAATTCTAAAGTTCTTGGACTTCATTTTTCCAGTAGTACAAAATGAAAATTATTTGAATAAAGTGAGTAGAACTCATTGAGAGGACAGCTGCTGCTTAGTGTATCCAAGAACCTGAACTCAATGTTTAGCAGCCCCCACTCCCCCCCAAAAACACTAACTGAATCAGATTACCAAGTAAAGGTTAATAATACAAATTACATGAAAATTAAGAGAACACGAAAATATGAAAAACAAGAGATTGCTGAGTAATTCCGGATTTAAGCCTAAGTGAAGCATACTTATATCAACACATCCAAAGCCTTGGTAGCATATTTAAGAAGTTAACATCAGATCTCACAGCATGATTTACTGACCCATTTAAGTTATAGGAGTTGAATTACATAAAATCTAAAGGTGCCCAAAGGGTAAATTAAAATGTTACTTACATCTTGCTAGAAAACTTCTGTCAGTCACACTGTCAGACCACAGTTTCAGAGTGGTCATTCAATTCACAAACTTTCTACTTCCTGGGGAAGCAAAGAATTAGACTTCCATGTTGTGCTTTCACGATGGAGTTCCTTATAAACTCTACTACAATATCTATCAAAAATAACAGTATTTGTTCAAATCAGTATCTGAGCACCTCAACTATAGTACTTTGTCCTCCAATAAGTTTACCCTCTTAATTAGCAATAGAATCATTTAAATGATAGTAACGTATTCAAACATCTGTTAACAGCTGTTTATAATTGTCTTACATGTCCTCACAGGTTAGTACATATTCATAGACAATGTAAATGAGATCTGAGTGGTAGAGGGCTTACCTAGAAGGCTCTGAATTCCATTCACAGTATGGAAGAGAGGTGTATTAACTTTTTTTTATTAACTTAGAGGGCTAGGAATATAACTTTCAGATAGAGTATTTGCCCAGCATGTACAATACTTTGGGTGCAATCCCTAGCTAGCATCAAGTAATTAATGAATATTAATTCCTGAATGTGCTGATAGTTAATGCTTGCTTTTCTCTCTTTCAGTTTGTTCCCAGTATTCCAGAGGAGTCTTCGCAATCTTTGGACTCTATGATAAGAGGTCAGTGCATACCCTGACCTCGTTCTGCAGCGCCTTACACATCTCCCTCATCACACCGAGTTTTCCCACCGAGGGGGAGAGCCAGTTCGTGCTGCAGCTGAGGCCTTCCTTACGAGGGGCCCTCCTGAGTCTGCTGGACCATTACGAATGGAACTGTTTCGTCTTCCTGTACGACACAGACAGGGGTAAGTCCTCTTTCCTTATCTACATCACAGAAAAGCCTGCCTTCTGTTGGGAAACGGCTTTGCATCACTTGTTTGACTTTGCCAATTGCTCTTGATTTTTTAACGGTTAAAATGATTACTTAATGGGTATCATCAATATTTTTAGTTTGACTGTGGAGGAAAATCTAATTTAGAAACACCCCTAATTCATAAAGTTACTTATAAGTAAACCATACTCTAACTGTGCTGAATATAATTATGAGGATAAGGCAAACAAACCAAGGTGATTTTTTTTCCCCTATCATACAAGTCGTATCCTTGGTGACCAGTCTATGTGGAGGTTTTTACATAGATAAAACATTATCTGGCCTATTTTCAAAACACAATTTGATTATGATGTTGTTTACCTAGAAATAGCATCAGATCCCACAGTTGAGGTTTGAGATCCCTCAATTCAGATGCCCACTACTGTGCCACTGATTGGCTAGCTATATATGAATCCCACAATCCCTTCCTTTAGGTAAGCTTATTTTTCCTTGCTGATCAATAAAGAGAACTTGGAGAATCATACGTTGCGGATGTATACACCTTTTGATAGTAATTTGCAATTTGCATTGTCTGCATATCTTTTCTTTCCCCTACAGTGAAAGTGCTTCTGCACAATTATATTTTATTTTTCCTCTTTATGTCTCACATAATGATCCCTGACAGTGATGCAAAATCAATGTGAAATGAATGAGTTAAACAAAAGTGCTCAATAATAGGTATCAAAAAATTTCGGACTCTAACGACTACTCATGTAATTTGTTTTTGAATAATGGTGCGATGTTTTTTGGGGTTTTTGGGGGGGTTTTTTGGATCAAATAGTTAACAGAGATGCAAAAGGAAAAAGTCACCTGGAAGAATGTTACTTCTCCAAAAGGCAATTTTCTTACCCTGAAAAAATATCTGAAGACAATATCCTCAATTTAGAATTAAGCCTAAATATTCAGAAAAAGAAGTTGCATTTCCCAGTAATTTAAAATCTTGAGCATTTCTTCAAATCTAATTTTTAAAAATGTTATATTTTTAGTGGAAAAGACACTCTTATAAATATATAAACAGTGGCAGTCCTTATATGAGTTAGATCTTTTAAACAAATATACCTTTTGCTTGTGTCTGTTACCCAGTCTTGAATGTTTATGGCATGTTTTAAGTCAGTCTTAACACCTTTAGTAACAAGGTGAATTTATGAGCTGGAGAGAGATGAAGGGAAAGAATCCTACCACTTTTCAATCCTAATCAACACTGCTAGTAGTTCTCAAATCTGTTACGATGCACAGTAATTTAAAGTCTCATCTATAGAATCTGCAATGGCTGAAAATTGCCCCATTTTACTAAATCCTGGTCTCTTTAATGTTTTTAGTCTCCAAGTTTTATGTGTACTATTGCTCGTAGAGCTGATGGTGTTATTTCAGAGGTTGCCAAATATCTCATATGCACTATCCTATACATTATAATGTTACATAAATTGTTCCTAGGAGAGAAATGTTTGGCAAAGGATAGAGTAGAAAATTTTCCTTTGGCTCATCTTGGTTGTTTTCTTTGGTTTGTTTCATTTCTTGTTAGCATCAATTTCACAAGAATATATTCTCCTCATTGCATAACAGGTTTACAGAGCACAGGAAATAGTATCTTGGGTGACATCATGTAAACACAATTCTATCTAAGAAGAAAGCTGGTGTAAGAGGGGGCAGAAGGGGACAGAAAACTTTTGTGGGGGAGCAGGAGGGGTCTAATTATTTCTACTTTCATAGTTTCACTACATGCATGCTTTAATTTTTTTAATTCTCTCATCCTTTTGCAAAATGTCAAGATCTAAGGAACAAAAAAAAAAAAAAGGAGCAAATGAAACATCTAATTTTTCCCTTAGTAAATAAGTCTTAATAAATCCTGTTTTCATTTTTGGGTTCTTAGCTCCAGTTCTTTTGTCTTCCATCTCTTTCTCATATTTCTAGATTTCTTTACATTTTTTCTCTTTCTTCTCCTTTCCTAGAAACCTAGAGTGATGGGTGGATAGACAACATGATTTCAGGCAAACTGGAAATTTTAATACTTATTTGTTAACAGAAGTAGATGCTACAATGACTAATTTCCTATGTTGTCTTTTTGGTCTGTCGGTTGGTTATAGTCCATTTAAATTATCAGTTAACTCAGGATTTAGTTGATAAACGAAAACAACTTCGTTTGCAAACTTGCAACTCTGGACAAATGGAGGACTTACGGGCAGTATGTCTGGAGGAATTCTATCTCAAAACTGTCCAAGCCCTTCTGTAAGACAAAACAAAACAAAACAAAACAAAAAACACTTGAATCATTGAAGATCCAAGTTATTATGATTTGAATTCCTGTGACATTTTTACAAGAGTAAAATGTTAACCACTACTTTTAAACTCCTATTAGAAATAGCTTTATGATATTGAAGACTTGTTTAATTCGAAGACTTGAATTTTCGTTTTATAAAAGGATGTATAAAGCTTCACCTTAAATAAAATTTAGTTCAGTAAAAAAAAACAAACTTGCAACTCCTGTTTACAATATAAAATCAGAAAACTCACTATGGGAGATACTGTTTTAAAGAATGTCTGATTAATAACAGTCATTTGTTTCTGTAGGTGTTCTAACTGGCCTAAGGGATGCCAAGATGGCTGATAAACCATTATTTTTAGGTGTATCTGTGAAGATGCATCCCAGGAGGCTAGCCTTTAAGTTGGAGGACTGACTAAAGATTTCTCTCAGCACAATTAGTCAATATCACAGTCCATTCAGATTCAAAGAGAAAAAAATGCAGAGGAAAGATGAACTTGCTGTCTGTGCTTGAGTTGGGACATTTGTGCTCCTGGTTCTTTGGCCCTTGGAACAAACACCAGGATTAAAGTCATCCATCCTCTGATTCTCATGCCTTACGATGTAGACTGAGATATTTGCCATTGTCTTTCTTCTTCTTAGTTGTTCAAACCTGTACTGAAAACCACTTACTGGGTTTCTAGCTTGTACAAGTTACATTATGGTGTTTTTCAACCCTCATGATCAGAGGAATCAAACTCTCGCAATAAATCCCTCCAGATGGATAGTTTGAAAGTAGGATGGATGGATGGGTAGGTGGAAGGAAAGAAGGGAAGGAGGGAGAGAGGGAGGGAGGGAGGAAGGGAAGGAAAAAGATTTTTTTTTCTGAAGAACCCTTAAGCTACCTAAGCATTCCCTAAACTCTAATTCATCCATAATATAGTAAGATCACCTTATTTGTGGACTTCTTATATGAGGTTTTGACCAAGTATGGTCAGAATAATAAAATCAAAAGGAATTTCAAAAACAAGACCTTTTCATCCATCCCCCCACCCCACCCCACCTTACCCCACCCCACCCCACCCCACCCCCACGCCCTGCATTGCACATCTCAACTGATGTTCCCTGGCCCACGTGATCATGAGGTTTGTTTACATGGCTGTGTGTCCTCCCCTAAATTTTGTGAAATTCTGCTTCTCAAATAGTGAATGGTTTAAAAAAAAATAAAAAAAGCAAAATGGTGCCTAAGAAGCAAGTAAAATTGAATATGTTTAAGTGACAAGGAGAAAATTTGAAATTTGTTGAAAGGAGGCGTATCTTTAGTGAAAGTCAGTGGATGGTACAAGAGAAATGCATCAGGCATCTGCAGTACGGTACTAAGCTCTGTGCATTTACCCAGTGGAGGTCTCCGGGGAACCTTGTACTCAGGGATGCTGAGGATCTACTGCATAGCAGAATGGCAGATGGCAGAACAAATAACTATATTCCTTATAACACATGGACATGAATTCAGACCAAAGTAAAATTACTGATATCACTTCCTTCTTTGGAATCCTTTCAGATAACAGTGGAATGGGATAGGTCAGAGCTAACTAGATAACTTTTAGGTGAGCCTGGTTCCATGCAATGTCTACAGGACAAGATTATGAAGTCCCCATTTTCTCCACTTCCAGTTCTTAACTACCACACTTGCCAATGCTCTGACAGCAGACATCTACCCTGGATAGTGCCGCTTAATAACTATAGCTCACTCTTTGTATTAAATACAGGATTAGCAGCCAGGTGGTGATGGCTAGTGGCTATGATCCTAGCTACTTAGAAGGCTGAGATCTGAGGATTGCTCTTTGATGGCAGCCCTGGCAAAAAAAAAGCCTGTGACACTCATCTCCAATAAACTACCAAAAAGCCAGAAGTAAACCTGTGATTCCAGTGGTAGAGTGTAGAGCGTTAGCCTCCAGCAAAAGTTCAGGGACAGTGACTAGGCCCTGGGTTCAAGCCACAGGAACAACACTGTGTGTGTGTGTGTGTGTGTGTGTGTGTGTGTGTGTGTGTAATAAACAGTAAAACCTATAGTTAACTGGCATATGAACTGAAAAGAATTAAGAATCGTTCATATTCTACCCTGGTATTACCCAAGGAAGAATGAATAACTTATCTTTTAATGTACAATAATATGAAGCCCTGTATTCTTAACCCAGAAAATGAAAATATTTCCCTGCCTATAAACGATCCTACTTGAGTCTGAAATGCTCATGAGGATGAAAAGCATTTCCCTTTGTGTAGATCTCCTAGGAAAACATTCAGGTAGTTATCTGTGGTTTTGTGAACTCATAAGATTTGAGCTATATTTTTTTAACTCATGCAGATACAATTGTTTATAAACTTTGATTGCATTCATGGTCAGACTGGGCATCAAATATGTACTTGCAGCCAGTTGTCAAGGGTGAGCTTAATCTTAGCCCATTCTAACCAGAGGAGAACACCATGAATGGTTCCTTTTGAGCCTATAGCCCTGATCTCTAGCCCCATCGAGGCCAGCAGGAGAGCAGAGGAAGATTAGGCTATAAAAACAATAACAAGGCTCTTCTCACTTATCACAGAGGGAGAAACAGGGTTCTGGAAGCAGCAAGGCAGCCGCATATCTCTTTGTTAGCATCTTCTTTGGATTACTACAGTATTTATTCCCTGCCCTCATT